GAGAGCTCTTGGACCCCAGACCGGCAGCTGGGAGGCCAGCATGGGACCGATTCAGACCCCCTGAATGTGAGAGTCAGTGAGGAGGCCTGGGTCCTGAGCAGTGGATCAGTGTTTATCCCTCGAATACTAACAGACATCGTGTGTCCATAACACAAAGAGGGATGCTCTCTCAGCCTGGACTCTTAGGGGAGTGCCTGGACCCTACCCTGAGTGAAATGACAGACTCTAGATATCCCCTATGCGGAAGGAATTGGCAATAGGGTGGGAGGCTGGAGAGGGGGTGTTGGTGGGAAGGTTTGGGAGGAGGGGAGGGAGAGGGAACTGGGATTGGCATGTAAAACAAGCTATTTAAAATTAAAATAAAACAATTAAAAATACTGAAATTAACTCTGAATCATCAGGAGTAAGTTCAGTGGTTTCAATATGTAAAATAACCTTAATATACTCAGAGTCAGTTGCTACACTGAGAGGTTCTGAAAAATCTAGTAATACCATGATAGCTACATTAATACTGACTTTTGAACAGAATCATGAGGGTTTTGAGTCACTTTAATTTCATGATTCAGAACCTGCCTTTCCTGATTTATTTGCATCATTGTAAAGTGTATGGGCTCCAGATATTGGTGTCCCTATACAATGTGAGGAAAGACCCAGTTAGTTCTTTTTATAAATTGAAATCTCTTGTATCTGAGGTCATTTGTTGTTAAATCTCTCCCCAAAATTACTGTAAGTCCCTTGCCAATGTTCAGTTTCAGCGTTAGTAAAAGGTACTACAATTTTTGTTGGTTCCTTTCCTGTTAATTGACAAAGTCTAAATTTTCCTTTTAAAATCTATTCAGAAACCTTTTATACATAGGCCTTTCTTTAATTTTTTTTGCTTTGTTTGTGTGGCAAAAATATCCATTCCAGAATATTATCTTCTCTCTCCATAAGAATCCCAGTAGGAGAATGGGTGGAAAGTAGAATAACTAGGATACAATCAAACTCTGGATCCAAGCGATTCACACGTGCATCCTGGAATTTTTTTCTCTACCAGAGTCAATTCTCTTTCAACTTCGCTGATAATTTTCTTAGACTATTTGGGTCCCTGCCACCTTGTAAAGTTTGAAACAAGTAACTTAGTTCTTGAGTTGTTAATCCAACTGTGGACCAAAGCCAGTTACTATCTCCCAGTAATTTTTCAAAGTCATTTAGAGTCCAAAATTGAAGTCTTCTGATACTTCTTTGTACTTCTTGTGGTTATTTTTTTGTAAAATTATTTTATATCCTGGGTAATTAATAGAATCTCCTTTGTATTTTTTTCAGGAGTAATGCATAATCCCCAGTAAGGCAATATTTTCTTCACTTACTTAAATATTTCTTCTAATGTTTGAATCAGCTAGTAAGATATCATCCATATAATGACAAATTATGGGCTGATGAAACTAGGAATTATTTACAACTGTTATACTGGCACAGAATGAGGCTGTTGAACATCCCTTGTGGGAGAATTTCCCATGATAACTTTTAACAATCTGTGAATTATTGTAAGTAGGCACCATTAAGGCAAATTTTTCTCTATCCTGTTCTTGTAAGGTATAATAAAGAACAGTCTTTTACACCAATCACTACAATAGACTATCCTTTAGGCAATAGAGAAAGCAGAGTATAGGAGAAACTGCAGCCAGCCTACCCAAGCCGAAATAGCCCTGCCTCCGGTGCCCAGGCCAGCCCACATGAGCTGCAGGCACTTCCTTCCTGAGCCAAGTGGCCAGGCCTGCATGAATGCCCAGAGAAGCTGACTGAGAGACACCTGACCCAGAGACACCAATGAGGAAGGGACGACACAGCGGAGTCAGCCACCTGAGTCAACAGGACTTAGGGAAGGGGTATAAAGGCAGATCTAACTTCCTTAATAAAGGAGTCTGCAGCATGCTCTGCTCCTCACTGACTCCCAGTGCCTGAGTCAGTGTTGCATCTTCTCACCCCTCCCCCAAGGGGTGTCGGAGGAGCAGGGTAACCTTCAACAGCAGGGGAATTTCAGGTTGTAGAAAGCCCATCGGATAAATAGCTTTATGGCTCTCAAATCTGTTAACATTGTCCATTTTCCAGGTATCTTTTTAACGACAAAATTCCAAGGACTGGTGGACTCTTCAATATGTTAAGCATTTAGCTGCTCCTATGACAGCTGTTCTAAGGCCTGTAATTTTTCTGATGTCAAAGGTCATTGTTTCACCCAGAAAGCTTTAATATTTAACCATTTTAAAAGTAAGGTTATTGGAACCTTTGAGAAGTCACCAGCTGTTGGGTTGTGTTTATGCACAACTTTGAAACTTTTACTATTTCTCCTTGAAAGATTCTCTATTTTAAGGTTTCTGAAATTGGAGGAATGATCTGTGTTTTCCACTGCTGTAGTAATCCCCATAAGTACATTGCTATGTTGGTCACATATGTTTTTAATTTTCCTCTCTGTCCTCCAGGTCCTATGCCTACAAGTCATCTTGTACTTTATTTCACCTGAGATAAGTCAGTCTCTAGAAGCTGAATGTTTACCCCTAAAGAGGCCAATTTGGATGCTAAGATTTTGTCACAATTATAGTTACATCTGCCTGTAATTTAATCCCATTTATCTGTATTGATAATTTTAGTTTTTGATCATTTATAGAGGTTTTCCAAGATATTTGTTTTATGGTTTCTCCTTGCATCTTCTTGAATAGTATGTTTTTAAGGTTTGCATAATCAAATTTTACTCTCTTTATTAGTACATACTTCTAAAGCTAATACTTTATCAGTCAAAACTGTATTATTCTCCTTAGAAATTATCTGCAAGGCTTGCATATCATCAGGAGGAGGATTAGGTTGTGCAGATGTAGTGATGATGTCTGACCAGCAGGTGGAGCATGTGCAGCAACATGGCAGCAATTGGAGGTTCAGGAGGAGGGAAGCTGCATTAACTCAATATTCTATAAGCTGACTGTTCTCAAGCTGTCACCCATGGTGACATCAGTGGGGAGGTTCATCCAAGCAGCCAGGCAGAACTGGCCCCAGAGGCATGGCTATGTTAAGTACCTTGACTTTCTGCCCACTGCCAGTGACTTGGCAACAGCAGCTGCAAAGTTCCAAGTCCCAAGAGAGTCTCAAGTTAGTGGGACTCAAGGAGAGCTGAGCTGCCTGAATTCACATCAGAGAACCCACTAACATAGGAAAGCAGACCAAAGGGGCTAGTGGAAGGCTGCTCACCCTCCACCAGAGAGTGGCACAGCAGCTGGATGCCTCACATATTTAGCAATGCCAAACTTTGGGCATCAGGTGTTGCTTAGTTCTTTTTTGCTTATTTATTATAAAACTAATGAACAAAATATTTTAAAATAAAAACCTGAGGTGGGTCAGGTTTTTTACTGGCTTGACAAGGCCCATGTACCACCCACCCCTTCCCCAGATCACATCCATCCCCAATGAAAACTCCACCTCTTGGATCAAAAGGCTCCTCTCAATAGGCTAGCGGACCAGTGACAGAATTCCTGTAACAGTCTGCAACTCCATTTCCAGAGACTCCTATGCCTTCTTCTGTACTTTGTGGGCACCAGGCACACGAGTGGTACATAGATATACATATAGGCAGAATACTGACACATATTAAATTTTTTTTGTTTTTGTTTTTTTACATATTAAAATTTTTACAAAATAAAGATAATATTCTTCCAAGAACTTAAGCATTAATTGTTGACAGTAGACAAGTCTACCCTATAGTAACTTGTTGCCATGCCCTATGCCACAGCATATATTTATCATCATTTCACACTGGCACCAACTCACCAATATTACCAATCCTGGCCAAACCCATTATCTTTATATGCATTCTCATTGTTGGTTCTACTACTGTGGGCTAAAATTAAAAACAGTATGATAATTCTTTTGAGATAAGTAGTACGGGTAGGTTAGCCAAAACCATAAATATCAGAAGAGCAAAGATTTTTATCTACTTTTGCTTCCAAATATCCTGGAAATGGAATTTCTGCCATGTTGTTGCCTTCTTTTTAAAAATTCTATTATATATTATTATTCTTAGTATTTTTATTATCATCATCATTAAACGTGTATGGGTGTTTGGGTTACATGTGTATCTGTGTACCACATACATTCCTGGTTCCCCACTAAGGTCAAAAGAAGGTCTTGGATGCCCTGGAACTATAGTTACAGACAGTTGTAACATGTGGGAATTGAAGCTGAGTCCTCTGGAGGAACAGTCAGTGCACCTAACCTCTCAGTGGTCTTTTCAGCAGCCTCTACTAAAGTTTTCTTATAACCAACTTATACTAGAAAAATGCACACCCACTCTAAGGTCTGAGTTCATAGCATGTGGCAAGAATTTTCTGTGTGCTTAATAATATTTAAGTGTATCCAAATAATAACTTTTGTTCCATATTTTTAATAAGAAAACTTTGTGCTAGAATCTGGACTCTCTAGGCCAACTTCCATCATAATATTTCAGAACATAACTTTATTTAGAGAAGGAGACTGGAGCATGATTGTCAATGCACATGACATTTCATAATTTGGGGTAAGAGTGGTGGAAAAATTCTAAACTTTGCGGCAATGCATAATCCTGTGAATGTATTAAAAAGCAATGGATTATTTCCTTCAAATGAGTAATCTGTATGTAAATTATCTCAATAAAAAGCAGCTTCTGTATTTCTGCCTCATTCTAATATATATTATAATATGCTATAAAATGCTTCCTAAGATATTAAATAGAACCAACAGACAAAGAGAAACCTGAACAGGACAAAATAAGCCAATAATAGGATGATAAAAACAAGTCACTTAAAAGCCAGAGATGACTAACAGTTAAAGGGCCCTTACTTGTTGGATAACAATCACTAAGCAAGCAGAAACGAAAAGATTGAATATGACCTCTAAATAATTTCTTCAGAAAGACTATTCAAAATAATCTTGAAATGCAAAGCCTTGCTTCTATACACGAAAACATGAATGAAGTCCTCAATAATATGAGCACTTACTCATCATACTCGATATGATAAATAACGTCTTCATCAGCAGCAACAGAGTCTGAATTAGACGTAGAGGGTACATTGTCCAATTTATTTGTGTTCTCTTTGGTATTATGATTTACATTTCCATTAGTCCTTTTATAAGAATTGCCATTCTTCAGTGGAGTTTTGCCACGTGAATGTCCATCAGAAGCTCTAGTAACACTATGTATATGTGCTTCAAACCAAGCACCAAGGCCGGCATCTCTGGCATCCACCAATTCATTTACCTAAAAAAAGTTTAAAATTAGTTAATGAAGCTTAATTTCATCTATTGCTTCAAAAACTGTAATATAACTCAAGTTATTTGAGAGATATTATGGCAAACAATCTTTATCGCTACTGTTTGAAATGATTACAGATTAGATCATAGCTATTCTTTTAAGTTTTGCTATACTATCTTAATCTTGATATTTACTAACACAAAGTTAATCTTCTTCCCAATTTCCTTCAGTGAAGATGCTTTAATTCTTTCATACCCATGTCTACACTCTACTTTTGAAAACAGTCATTATGTTTCTAGGAGTCATGTAAGAACACCACCATTATAGAACCAGAACTTTTAGCTATTAAGCCAGCAAATTTGTTCTATTAATTTCTTCATCGCCTTAAAAACAACTTATACGATTACTTCAAAAAGAAACTAAGTGAGAATAAAACTTGAAAGAATTATTCATAAAGAACAACAGAAAGAGTCTGCTAAATTAACATATACAAACTGGGGAAAGTTCTACCTTACTCACTGAGCAAATAGGTCCATTTATCACTTCAAAGAATAAAGATAAAGCATAAGGAGAGAATTGTAAGACCCAAGATGTCCAGTAATAATCCAGACCTAACCAACAACTTTTACACAGTGGTGATTAAAACGTATGTACATCAGAATTAAGAAACAGAGGCAGGTTGAAAGATTTCTTCTAGTACTTTGTTTGACTGGATTTGTAAATAGACAATAGCTTAAACTTGATTTTATCATGGAATATCTTGTTTTCTCCTTCTGTGGGGACTAAAAGTTTTGCTGGCTATAGTTGTCTCTTAAGAGTCTGAAGGAAATCTGTACAGGTCCTTCTGGCTTTTCCAGTCTCCACTGAGAAGTCAGATGTTACAGAGACAAAAGCCAAATACCAGGCAGAGAGAGAGAGAGCCCAAACTGGAGATATCCATCAGGTCTCTCCCCTCAGAATTCAAGGAAACTGTGGAAGAGGGGAAGTAAGAACTGCAGGAGCCAGAAGGGTCAGGACACCAGGAGAACATGGCCCACATACATCAACTAAGTAGGGCTTGTAAGGGCTCAAAAAGACTGAAGCAACAATCACAGCGATTACATGAGTCTGTGGTAGGTTTTCTGCATATATGTTATGGCTATTAGCTTGGTGGTTGTGGGACTCCTAACAGTGGAAGTGGGGTATCTCTGACTCTTTCATCTGCTCTTGGGACCCTTTTCCTCCTACTGGGTTGCCTTGCCCAGCTTTGATATGAGGGGTATGTCCCTAGTCTTACTGTATCTTGTTATGCAGTGTTTGATGGTATCCCTAGGAGGCCGGCCTGCTCTTTTCTGAAGGGAATTAGAAGAATGGATATGAATGAGAGGGTAGGTGGGGGGAGAAACTGGGGGAAGTAGAGGGAAGGGAAACTGCAGTCAAGATGTTCTGAAAACGACCAAAATATTCTAAAAAGGTGAGGACACTGGTAAAAGGTAGAGGTTTTATTTGTTCCCCCCCCCCAGGTAAAAGGAGAGAAATCTCCTGAAACTTTATTTTTCAAGTCTTTACAAAGAAAATCTGAAATCGCCAAATGATCATCATCTCCTCAATCTAGCTTTCCCTTCAAGGTGAAAGAAACCACTTAATATAATTCTAACAGGTGGTGATGGCTAATTTTTATTGTCAACTTAACACCAACCTAGAATCACCAGGGAAGAGAGAAACTTAAAGGAAGAACTGCTTCAATCAGATTGGCCTGTGGAAATGTCTGTGAGACACTATCTTGATTGATGAGTGATATAGGAGGGCCTAGCCCACTGTGGGAGGCACTATCCCTAGGTCAGCAGGTCTGAGAACAAATCATAGACCCAGGTTAAGAAACATAGATAGTTGGAGGGATACACAAATCTCAATTGGAAGGGGAAATAGAATAGATATTTCAGGTGGACTGGGGGCAGAACAGGAGGGATCAGGTTGGGGAGGAGAGGGAGAGAGAGAATACTGAGTGGTGACTGGAATTGGGAGGAATTTCAGAGTGACATAGAAATCTAGTGCAATGGAAACTATCAGGAACCTATGAAAATGGCTCTAGCAAAGACAGCTAGTAATGGGGGATAGATAAGGAGTATGAACAAGCCATCTTCTGCAACCAGGCAAGAATTCCAGTGGAGGGACTGGGACACCAACCTAGCCACAAAACCTTTGACCTACAATTTGTCAGGCCTGCGAGATGTGCTGGGGTATGAAGGGTGGTGCAAAAATTGTGAGAGTGGCCAACCAATGACTGGAAAGCTTGAGATCCATGCCACGAGAGACCCACAGCCAAACACTAGGTGGAGCTCGGGGAATCCTGGGGAAGAGAGTGAGGAAAGATCATAGGAGTCAGGGGATTCAAGGACACAAGAAAACTCATAGAATCAACTAACCTGAACTCATAGAGGGTTGGTTCAAAGAGACTAAATCAACAATAAGAAAGTCTGCATTTAGATATATCTATCTCTTAATTATTAACCATGAACTATTAATTTGTGTATCTTCACATAGCCTTATCTTACCAGAGAATGCCTGGGTTTGTTCAACCTTCCCAGTGGCTATATAGTGTCTCCCTCTGGTCTGCTCCCTGCCTTTTCCTCTTCCCAGATTCTCCTCATCTGGTGGTCCTGCCTATACTTCCAGTCTGGCTACTGGCCAATCAGCATTTATTCATCAACCAATAAGAGAAACATATATTCACAGCATACAGAAGGGCATTCCCCATCACCTCTGCATATATGTTATGGTTGTGTAGCGTGGTCTTCTTGTGGTACTCCTAATATTGGGAGCAGGGCTGTCTCTGACTCTTTTGCTGCTTTTTGGACCCTTTTCTTCATACTGGTTTGCCTTGTCCAGCTTTAATGAGGGGAGGGAAGGTGCTTGGTCTTATTACAACTTGATATGCTATGTTTGGTTATCCCTGAGAGGGAAAGGAGGTTTATAACTATGAAGGGAAAGGAGGAAGAGCCTGTCTGAGGGAGAGAGGTGGACGACTGGTTGGAGAGGAGGGTGACTGGTTGGAGAGGAGGGAGGGGAAACTACAGTTGGGATGTAATTTAAAAAACACAGAAAGCTAACAGAGAAAGTTAGAGATGAGTCTAAGCAGTCTTTTCCCATGGTTTCTGCTTTAGTCACTATTTGAGTTCTTGCCCCAACTTTCCTCAATAACAGACTGTGACAAGGAAGTGTAAGCCCAATCAGCTCTGTCTGCTTCAAGTTGCTTTGATCAGTGTTTTATCACTGCAACAAAAAGCAAACTAGAACACAGATGGGATAGCTTGGAAATGAAAGTGTGTTCTAAAATAATTTATACCCACATGTGCCAGGTAATATGTAATGTTCTTCACTTAGGTTCACCTAACCATAATGATTTTATCAATTACTACTTTATAAAGAAAGGGAAGCATCATTAGCTTGTTGTAGGCAAAAGCTAACAAGATGTAAATCTACATATTTCAAGCATCTTGGTCTTGAAAGGGTGTGTTTCACCATTATACTAAGAAGCTTGTTATATCTGACAAGATAGGCAGATATAAACTTCAAAAGTAAGTGAAACTCTCTCTCTCCCTCTCTCTCTCCCTCTCCCTCTCCCTCCCCCCTCCTCTCTCTCTCTCTCTCTCTCCCCCTCCTCTCTCTCTCTCTCTCTCTCTCTCTCTCTCTCTCTCTCTCTCTCTCTCTCTCTCTCTCTCTCCCTCCCTCCCTCCCTCCCTCCCTCCCTCCCTCCCTCCCTCCCTCCCTCCCTCCCTCTCTCTCTCTCTCTCTCTCTCTCCAATCACCAAGCTGACATAAAAAGGAGAAAGTACAAGTAAGTCAAAAACATCTTGGTACAATATTCAACTAAAGGCAGTATGCAAAGTGAATGTAGTAGCAATGAAACAGCTTGAAAGACAGGGTTTAACACAACTTAGGAATGAAGCGGAAGGGAGGGGACGGGAGGGGAGGAGAGGGAGGGGACGGGAGGGGAGAGGGGGGAGGGAGGGATGGATGGACAATAACTACTGCTTTGAGTCAAGTAAGTTAGGTACAGCAGAATCAGAGATGGAACATACTATTTACTACAAAATTGATTTATATACTAAATGACGAGAATTCTTCCACAATAGTAACTGACAAATTTTAAAGACAGCCTCTTGTAAGCAACAGAGCTAAAACAAAAATAACCAATGCTACAGTTTATAAGAATAAATAAGTTACTCTTCACTCACAATAAGCCAAAACATAATGTTTCATTTAGCACTCCAACTGTATCATTGAGGAAATATGGTATATGGTTGACAGTAAAACAACAGCAGTAAAAAAGACACCTTTAGTCTCAAGTGTGGGGTGGGGTGGTATACTTTATAACTCTTAGCACTCTGGGAGCTTAGGCTAGAGGATCACAAGTTCACAGCCAACCTAGGCTATATAGGAGAAGCTTGTCTCAAAAAAAAAAAAAGGAAAGAAAAGAAAAAAAGCCACATGAATATAAACCCTACTATGGATCAGTAAGCAATCAAAATGAAATGCTAAAATTTGCCTAGCAATATTTAAAAACCAGCAGGTAGAGCTAATATTTAGATAACCTAAAATAAAATGTATTAGTTCACAAAGACAGATTGTTGAGGAGAATAAACCTATACTTACAGCTGGAAACTCAAGTTTTACTATCCTATTCACCATAGCAAGCCATTTACAATAATGCATAAAAAGGTGCTAGCAGTGCTTTTAAATTCTAAATATATTGTAAAATACATAGACATGCCAAGGACCAATTTAAATAGGTTAAATTGCATGTAGGAGATAAAACTTTCACAGAGCTTGGGTTTTGATGACAATTCAGAACACAAATTATTAAACCATGAAACTAATATAAGAACAGGATACTGTCAAGACTTCTAAGTAACTTAGTAGGAATTAAGAATAAAAAGAATTAGAAGAGAGTGACAAAACTTAAGGAGACATCTGGTAGCATGTTTTTGTAACCCCAGTCCAAGAGAGGCTAAGGCAGAACAATG